TGGAAAGCGATCTGGTGATATATAAAGCAAATGGAAATTGAGCTACTATGACCCAGCTAACCCTCTACTGAGCATATACCCAGGAGAGGTAAGAAACAAACCACGACCAGTCATCTGTGCTCCAATGTTTATTTCGGCGCAATTCACAATCACAAAGAATTGGAAACAACCTAAATTTATAGACGAGTAGATAAGAAAAGCACTGATAATCACATGAAGCTCGTCATTTCATGGAAGAGTTGGAGGAAATGATTTAAGTGAAGTCAGCCAATCACAAAAGGACAAGTACAACATGAGTCGCCTGAGGAAAGTAGATTCGACACAATAGGTCTAGAAGAAAAGCCACTTGTCTCACACTACGGTAGAACCCAGGACCTAGACACTAATCCTTTCTAGAGGGAGCGTCGAGATGCGATGCAGTTGAGGTCCCAATCAATTTTTCCCATAAGAAATAACTGAAAACGGATTAATCCATGCTCGACCACCAAGTTTTTACCATAACCTTGCCTTTTTATAAAAAACATTACACAGAAATTTCAAAGTAAATAAGCTCAGAGTTAAATACTATAATTTAAACAAGAAACACAACATCAAACAAGTTTTTAACAACTATAGCATGGCCCATACCCTGAGATGGATGAGGATCTGGATCTGTGGACACGGACGTGGGTGGAGCTATGGAGAGAGGGAGTCAGTGTTTGGAAGGGGAATCCCCTTCCATAAAATCAACTGGTAGCTGCTTTTCAGGAGCTTTTTCCCTTCTTTGCCCTTTTTCACGAGGACCTGGCTGGCTTGCTGTGGTGGACATATAATTGTTTGTCAATTTGAAAATTAGGAGTGTGGGGTGGTCTAGCTTGTCAATGGGATCATAGGCAATGAGGCCTCTGTGTGGGCATGGCCTTCTCTTGGGAGAATTCTGGGAAATCCAGTACTTCCTCCTTGGAGGTAGGAGACACTTCTTTCTCTCTGCTACTCCCTGGGAGGCATTGCAGCTGACAAGAGACAGGAACTACCCTAGTGTCCCAAGCCTGACAAGCCACATGGATGCAACCAGACCTCTGAAGCCGGAGAAGCCACAGAGAGACCCCTGCCAGCGCTGAGATGCTTACAACACCACTGGACCCAAAGACTCTCTACCCACTGGCTTGTGATCGTCCTGCACTTGGCTTCATTGCATGTGTTTTATGAGTCTGAAGAGGACTTTATAGATTGTTATCAGACATATGGACTAATATCCGACTTAGGGCCTTGGACTGGACTGGGTTGGGATGCTGTCTCAATGTTCAATTCCTCTTGTATATAATATATACATATGCGTTTATGAATTTGTTTTAGTTTACCCAGACTAACACACTTTTCCTTTAAAAAAAAATCTTTCTAATGTGGTCTGCTGTCGGCATTTCCTTAACTGTTTTCTAAAAGGGTTTACTAAATTATCATTAAAAAAGTCAATAACATAGTTAACCAGTTCCTTATCATGATTCTTTTTCAAAAAATTTTGTTGGGACCCATGTTTTTTACCTAAAAACAGTATCAAAATCTACAAAAACTAAGAAAATTATTGCAAAACGCTTGGAATACAGCCGCAAAAAGGTTTTAAACAACGCATACTAACGCCACCTAAGGCTGAGTGACCGAAACACAAACTGTTTTTGTTTACAAATCAAGTGCATCGGATCAGATTCCGAAGCTTTGTTTGAGCTCCAATGAAAACCTTTCTCGACATTTCACATCAAAATCTGCTTATGTCAAGTACTGATGCGGTCGAATACTGGGGTTCTACTGTATACGGGTTGAGTACAGGCAGTCGGGCGGGGGCAGACCAAACCCAAGAAGGTATACGTTACTCCAACACAATGAAGGGGAAAGAAGGGGGCATGGGGAAGGGAGAAA